CTAAATACTCTAAAGCAGTGATTCCCAAAATGGGTGGTGGAAAAATCCAGGGGGTCAGTGAGAGGGAAAGGGGGTGGCAGAGGGGCTTTCAGTCAAAGTATTGGTGTGCAAGAAAGACCTTTAGGATCATGGTGGGGATGAGGGCTGTATGAAACCTCTTTGCAGGGCCCCTTAAAATCACTGCACAGCCTTGCTGATCTCTTCATGTGGGGGTGTCTCCCACTCTTCACCTCTCCACATGAGTCCACTTCCTTAGCCTTTTGCTAGCAGTGGTGTTTGGGACAGAATGACTGACTGGAGTGAGCCATTCGAGCACAGGTGACAGGGGAGTAGTAGTGGCAAAAAGGAGCTTTCGCATTTGGGACCTTGCTTAAGCTTTTTTGAACATTGCCAGGACTTGGCTGGCAGGTTGGAGTTGCACTGCTGTTTCTGCTTTCTTTTGCTGAACAGACTTAGAGAAGAGGTAGCAGAAGAGACAATACTGGGGAGAGAGGGGACAACACTTGAAACTGTGTGGGAAAGGCATATATCTGGGGAAGGAGTCAATTCTTGGAGAGTCCTTTGCCTTCAAGTGGCTCCAATAGTTAACGTTTCTTCCTTTCTCAATCCATACCAGTTGCTAGTCCAGAGCATGTGGCCTCTGTAAAGCCCCTACATGCGCATCAACTGCATCTCTGTCCACTCTGATGGCCTTCCTCAATAAAGGCCTTCCTCCCATTCTAACAACAGCCTGCTGCTTAAGAAGAGGAAGAATCCCTGGATTCCTCCTGCACTCCACTCCCAAAGTTGGAGGCTCGTGTCAATAGCAAACAACAGCCTTTCTCACGTTCACTCACTCCCTGATTCTCCTGCCTGCCATACCAGGAGGACAGAGGAACCCAGAAAGTCCTGCTCTGTCTCCTCTTCTTCTCCCAGAGAGTTGGAGGAAGGAGGGACCTCGTTTGTCCCAGTTTTGGGGCACATCTTCTCTTCCGCTGCACTCCTTGTGTCTTACAAAGTACATTAATGCTATGTCTCCTTTATTTCAAAAGGCAGACATTTAGGGAGTAACAGTGGCATTTCTAGAGCAGTGGTCATGGTGTCACTACATTTATGGGGTCACCTGGTGCAGTCTCCACCCTGGATGCCCCCTGGTGACACCTCTGTTGCAAGGCTGGCACAGGCAGGAGGTTTCTCAGTCACTGTTCAGTCAACTATTTGGTTGCTGCTTCCAGCGTAGCCAGGTAGCAAAGGGATCAGAGATTGGTTGTTTTGAATGTGCAATAGAAAAATAGATCTAATATCAAGAAATATGTGTTGGGGAGAGCTAGGGTTGTCATCCAAGAGAAAAGGGGACAGTAGCCCCAAAATGTTTGGGGACCACTGCTCCAAAGGCATCATATCCCATATGATGTTAGAATCAAGGTCAGTCCTGGCATTTGGATGGTAAATTGGCAATGCCAGGTGCTATAAGCTATATTTCAGAGGAAGAAACTTCCAAAACCACCTCTGAGTCCTCCTTGCCTAAGAAAACCTTATAAAACTTATGGGGTCACTGTTATGTTGACAGGTGACTTGAAGGCAAACACACACACATGAAAGAACATACATGTGAATTTTGTACTGAACTGGTACAGCAGCCTAACCTTAAGTAAATCACAACAGTGGGTTAAATATTATAGAAACAGAAATGAAAACTGAGATTCTTGCTCATTTTCTAGAATGCAGATGCCCCAGTGGTCAGAATTAAGAAGCTGATCAGAAGACCTATGTTAAAAAGAAATGGAATCTGAAGTTTGCAAGAATCTTAAGCAGACTGAAGCCAATGCTTTAGCCAGAGTTTTACTATTTTACAACCAGAGGTAACTGTCATGACCCAGAAGAGGTGGCTGGGTTTACTTTTTTTGGAAATTCTCTTCTATTTCAGTCAAGTAGGATTTTTCAACAGTTTACAATAAATAACAGAAATAAATACAGCGGGCCCTCCACATTTACTGGGATTAGGGGTGAAGAAGCCCCATGAAAGTGGAAAAAAACACAAATTTAAAAAGCACTTTTTACTTTAGGTCTGAGAACACCTCTCTAGGAATCTCTAGGTCCTTTGGAATGATTCTGTGGTGGAAGTTGACCATAGAATCATGATGGTGGACCTACAAATGCCTAGAGAAATGTTCTCTCTAGGAATCTCTAGGTCCACCAGTATGACTTTGTGTCAACTTTCAGTGGAAGTTGACCATAGAGTCACACTGAAGTACCCAAAGATTCCTAGAGAGAACATATTACTGAAATCCATGAATAATCAAATCCATCAAAGCCACAAATGTGGAGGGCTTACGGTACAATAAAATCAACTGTAGACACTAAAATAGCCCAAAATCTGATTTAGTCTCAATAGCAGTTGATCATTCAGTCAAGGGAACTCAGGTGAGTGTTGACTCATCAAGTTTCCATTGGCTTGCTCTAGGACTAATTGTATGATTCTATGATTCTATGACTAGCAATTAGATGACAGTGAGCTACGAAAAGTAAACATAGGATAAGAATAAAAGCCAAGGAGACTGGGGAAATTTTTAAAAGGATGATATGGTGCAGAAAATGTTTCAGGCACAGCAAGCAGTGACCCTCTCTGAAAACAGGCATAAATATTTTTAAAACATAAATTAATACTAAAGCATTGCTACTGGAAAGGCCACCAGTCTAGTATGGTAAGGAAAGGCAGGAAGATGTCCTTGTCCACCCACTGTCTGTTGATCTACTGCTTTCCACTCTCTGCTTTAAGGCTTCTCCAAGCCATTATGATTCACTGTTTCCATGACTAGATATGGCACATTAGGGATGCCTCTTATCAAGAGGAATGGAGGCTTGATACTTCACAAGTACTGGGTCTTTTCACTCATCCTATGGAACTGAAGTTGAGGGGAAGAAGAGGAGCTAAATATTCTGCTCTATGTACTATGCAATGATATCTAAAATTCACAGAACAGTGATACCTTTATTTGTTGTTGTTAACTGCCTTTGCATTGATCTCGATCCATGGCGACCCTATGGATGAGACCTCTCCAGGTCTCCATGTCCTCTACTGCTCAGCTCAGCTCCTGAAAACTCATATTCGTGGTCTCTTTAATAAAGTCATCCGTCTAGCATGTGGCCTTCCTCTCTTTCTACTTCCCTCAACCTTTCCTAA